CCTTAAACCCTAAACCCTTTATAATCCCCCAGACCCGGGCCTCTTCGGGCTCTGGCTGGACATCTGGAGGCCTACTGCAAAGTACAGGACTTAAATGGATTTAAGGGTTTAGGGTTTAGGTTTTAAGGGTTTAGGGTTTAGGGTTTAGATGGGTTTAGGTTTCAGGGTTTACATTTCAGGGTTTTGGGTGTCGGGTCTAGGGTTTAGGGTTCAGGGTTTTTTGGGGGGTTTAAGGCTCAGGGTTTAGGGTGTCGGGCCAAGGGTTTAAGGTTCAGACTTCAGGGCTTACGGTATAGGGTTTGAGGTATACAGGCGTGCCTAGGAATGATGGAGCTTGTATAGGGATTATATAGGGGCTTAGGGCTTCTAGAGTTAGATTATGTAGGAATTTGGGGGATATTATCTGAATCATGGAGAGTCAACATCTGAATCATGGAGAGTCAACTGGAAAAGAAATGTAAAATGAAATGGAAAATGGTTTATGGAGGAGTTACATAAAGGAATGTAGGAGACTAAAGTCAGTACCACTACTGATGACCATTGGTAGTTGGGGTAAAAGTGGCGCAATGCCACGCTGGTCAGAGCATGTTCGGTTCAGTATTTGGGGTTGATATGGTAGTTTCCCAAAACAGGGCGACCCCAATATAGACCCCAAAATAATACGATCCTTACTATGGGGAACCCCGGTACTATTGTTGGGAAACCCCCATACAAGTGTCTCAAAAGCGTCGCGTGTTTCATGGGTCTCTGTCAAGTACGGGTCCTTCCGGGATTAAAAATTCAAAAAGGAGAGCAACGGGCTTTACTTCTGTTACTGCCTTCATGAGGTTTTCACCCACCCTCGCCCACACGTTTGCTCAACGCATTCGAAATACCAGTCTGACATGGCACTGAAGAGGAATTGCCGCATGATTTCTGCCAAGTTCTCCGGGAATGATATCACCCCAAGTAATATGGATCAAAATTTGAAAATTAAATTTGAATTTCAACGCTTGCAAGCCAGTCCAACCCTCCCTTCAGCTCCCCATAAGCACGAAATGGCACCTTTCTTTCGCAGCTTGGGCAGTTCAGGTCACAAGTTAAATCTTGAAAGAGACGCAGGGCTCTGGCAGCTTAATCTGCAGGAATGGCTTATGGCTGAAATTGTAAGTTCCTGTGGCGTGTACCTGCTTTGTCGAGCTTCTTGCTCCAGAAGCTTTTCTGGTGTGGGGCATCTAGCAGAATTCTGATTAGAATAATCAGCAGGACCACAGCTCACCAACATGGTGCGCTGACAGTATATTGACATGTTTGGCAATGAGCACGGGTGCTCCTGCTAGCACACTTACGCGCTGATGTCATGGAGCTTACAACTGCTCAACCAACATCATCACGAATGGCAAGGAATGCTGTGCCAGGGGTGTACTCATCAGGTTGTTAAGGTTTGAGGCTCGGGATTGCAACTCTGCCCTGCAGGAGCTTAGCTTGATCCCCTTGGTGGAATTCAAGGCTGACTCGTGCAGCCTCTACTCACTTTTGAGCTGACTGGTGCAGTTCTTTCAGTGGTCTTGCTCGGGATAATCAGAAACCTAAGAGACCTGGAACCACAATCATCGCTGTCGTGGGCTGCTTGCGCAGCTGACTGCTCTCGTGGTCCTAACAAGGCTGTGTGGGCAAAAACGAACTTTACAATGCCAACACGTTTCAAGCTGTGCTTGCCATTCAAGCGAGGTTGAAACCTGGCCCTAAAGAGGGCAAGCACAGCCATCAGATATATCAGGGTGAAACTTTGTCCTGATTGCAGGCATCTGGATATCTGATTAGAACTCGCTTCACAAACTTTCTGCGCTATCTGATGCAGAACCCACCTCCTCTCTTACATGCAAGTTCTACAGCCAGCCGTGAGCCTGCAAATCAGCTGTTCTGGCCAAAGTATAGCCAGCCTGCCGCTATGAGACCCCAAAAGGAATGCACACCTGCGCCAGGCCTGCCAACGCGTGCTGCAGCCGAAATTTCTCCCACACCCACGGAAACCTGCCGCGATGTAGTAGACTTGGTGTGTCCATTGCTGGGACCTTCAAGCTGCACGTCGCCAGGAGTCTCGCTGACAGCCTCCTGAGACTTGGACGGGTCCAGACCGATGAAAACTCTTCCCTACATGGCAGATTTGCAAACAGGAAACTCCTCCCTAAATCTCTTTTGCTGGCACTCAGCAATGCCAAGGCTCGGCGGGACAGCCGTGGTTGATGACACCCAAGCTCATGCTGGATATGCACACATTTGGTGGTCGCCTGGGGCTCATCTTGCTTGAGTGACCGGTGCAGTTGTCCAAGCCGAACTGCAACTGCACAATCTCGCCTTGCTTTTCTAAAGGGTCCAAAGATGTTTAAAGGACTTTTCTTAACAAAAACTATGCCTATGCCGATGCAGATTCCCGCAGGAAGGCCAAACCCTGAACAAATGCAAGTCACCATGCTCACACACGCTCATCACGGAGCCTGTGGATGTGTGAAAAGGTTCACAATAGCCAACCATTTTGTACACCTCGAGGTGTCGTTCTTTGTAGGAGCACCATCCGCCTGGGAACACTGTCTCCTGGTAGTAGCCGCTTGACTTTATTGTCCATTTCTGGGAGTGGAACTTGTAGTCAAAGTCAAGCACAATGCACTTATCAATCTCTTCAACAGTACGTCGTTCTGTTTTGGTCGTGCAGTTGTCGTCCGTGCCATAGTAATCGACTGTATAATGTCCGCTGACGACCCCGGCCTTGAACCAATAGTTGTCAGGAACGCCTGGCCGGGGATCCTCTAGACAAGCTCCCAAGCGCTGTGGCGGATAATGGTACGACTGGTACGGCTTTGAGCTGCAGGCACGATCGGTGTACAGCTCTAGAACAGCGAAGTGCTCAGCCCGTGCACAGAACATCAAAGGAATTAGAATCCTTCCTGCTGCCATGATGCTCCAGGGAGCTGCGCGAGGGATCTCACAAGAAGGCTATCGAGGCGAACCAAAGTTGGGCCCAAAGCTGCCAATGCTTGTGGCTTCTTACTTTGGTTCCTCTTTTGGCCTGGTAGCTTCGACTTGAGGTTAGGCCCTCTACCTCCTAGCTCTCGGAACCCAGTGCTATGGACAAGGATTAGCTGTCCAAGCAACTCCCGCAAACTGACAAAAGGAGGTCCCGCCGTTTGACTGTATGCATCTGCAAAAAGGACTGGGGGCCTGGTTGTTGTACCAAGGCCAACCGACTCCAGCGGGGGCTTGAATTCGAAGGGCTGACCGAAGTTGTCAATCTCCCACCTCAGCTTGTGGGCTAGCCGCTTAGCTCACTGACACTTTGGCCCTGGCATTTTTACAGTCGCTGCGAAAGATCTGCAAAGCTTACACTTCAAAACTCTGCTCGTCGAGTGGCAGCGGTGGCTTGGGAATGTCCACCACTTTCTGCCAGCTCTTCCCATCCCAAATCCTCGCTCAAGAGTGTTCAAAGTACGGCCATGGCTTGTACATATTTCCGGCTTGGGTCAATGACATGGACTGTGGAGAGTGGAGTGTAGACAGTGGAGTGTGGAGAGTGCTAACCTACTGCGTCTGCAGTGAGCAAAGAAGCATCAGACAAAATGAGACTACTCAGGCCCAGATTTTGAAAACCTGACACAAGTGAAAACCTGGCCCCAAAAAGCCGTTGCTTCTCAGACATGCTTGACTGAGAGTCTGCATCCGAAGAGTCGATGCCACCTTCGTTCAGCATTGCTAGCTGCAAATTGCTGCATTCATCTCTTGTCTGTGATCATGAAGGCTTGCCGGCACCTTGGCTTGTGCCTGCAACCTCCGCGATGCTGACGCAGGGGGCGTCTGGAAAAGCTGCATGCAGCGAACCTGCACAACACAATCAACACGAACACTTCGCTTCGCTTAAGCAATGTAAATGTCTTCAAGATTCACGGAACAGAAGCATATCTATGGCAGCACCCACGCAAAGCTTCAGTTTGTCTGCCTTCGCCCTTCCAGTCACAGAAGGCATCTGTGCCAATAGAGAGAAGATATGGCTGCCCAGACTTGGCAACGCGCGGTCTCTCCAGGTTCCCTACAAGGTTGCCGCCGCTAGGCCTCTACTCGAATTGTCACATACCGGGCGCAGGAGGCCGAAGCCAGAAAGGGCACCTAGAGCATCTTTCGCTGCTACCTGGTTCAACTAGGTAAGCATTGTGTTCTCAAAATGCCTCCTGCTGATTGCCCTTTTGTGCTGCATAGCTTGTAAGCATGCAACAGGAGCTGCTCAGGCGTAGTAGTTGAAGTTGCTCTTCTTCTTCGCTTGGACAGCGCCAATCCCAGCGACATAATCCTGACAAGAGACGGAAAAGGCGCTAAACCCCAAATGCCCCTGGAACGCTCGTGCAGAAACCTCTGCAGGACATCCATGCTCCAAGCACAGCTTCAAGGAGGAGGGGAGGAAGCGCACATTTGCACATACCACTCTTCCTGCCCTGCACATGCCTCGTGGCACAGCTCTGTTGCCCCACGGCGCAGCGCCTAGAGCAAGGGTGACAAAGGGTCGGTCTGGATTGCAGAACAAGTCAAGCTTCTGGGAAATGGATGCATGGGCTCTGCTATGCTCTGCTGCTTCTTCCCGTGCCTTTGCTACCTACGAGCTCTGTCCCTTCTCTTGCTAGAAGCAGTTCCTGGAGGCGCAGGGGTGGACAGTTCCGCTAGTCATATGGTTTGAGAACACTGCGTCTAGCAGGTGCTTGCAGTGCTGTTCCCACGAGAAAAAAGGCCCTATTGGTTCTGACTTAGGCTTCTACACTTTGCCATATGTACTGCTCATGGTCACGGCCTTTGGATCAACCCTCCGCCACTGCTTCAGCTTTGCGGACACCAGGCTGCTGTTAAGGAGCTGAAGTTAAGGACCATAATTTGGTTTTATAGGATTTAGGGCTTAAGTTACCATAATATGGGCACATACTAATTACATGATAGCAGGTTTCCTTATTATAGTAATATGGCTTAAGCTCCTTAACAGCAACCTAGGAAAGGGCAAACTCCCACAGAGCCCCCGGTGCATATGGAGTCCGAACACCATCTCCACATGCAACTTTCCGAAATTAGGGGTCCTCGTTATAGACCCCCCAAAACTGCATGATCCTTATGCATGCTTATCCACTCTTTGGAAACCCACGCATCATTCCTGTAAGCCCCGACGGCCCTCCGCTGTCTTCCTTAAACGGAGAATCTAAGCTGCACGCCTCCATGCCGGCCTCGACGCACACCGCCTAGCGAGGCCCGCAACACGAACAGTTCCAAGAATGATGTCGCAGCGATAGCAACATTGCGCAACATGAGCAAGAGCAATCATGATACTGATAGGTGGCAGCCATCTCCCAAGCGTGCGAAACACAAACGAATGCCGAACCCTGGCTGGTGCAAAGCCTTGAGCTGGGCTCCATTGAAGTCGTCTGTGGAGCGCGCAAGTTCAACGAAATTCACGTCGTCCTTCCTCAGCAAGGTTAGGAATTGTCAGCCTAGTTGCAGGAAATTAGACGAGTAGAACTGTGGCATTTTTAACCGTTCTCGCCCCCGGAACTCTCAACCTTTGTAAGAAGGGCATGCCAACTTTTTTGCGACCAGCATTGGAGGCTCTACAGCGCAACTCTCTGTGTAGGAAGGGATGGAACTTCATGAGCCCTCACATCAGGTTTACGGCGACAATTTTGCTCAACTCCGAGCTCGCGATGTAAGGTCGTAAGGTCAACATGGCTGGGATGTACTCGATTCAGCGGAAAGCTAGGAGCCTACGTTAACATCTGAACTGGCTGGAAAATGCAGTGCAAGCGGCTTGTAGTTCATCTTCCGGGAATGGATCTGCATAATGCGCGCGCGAGAATCCTTGTGGCGCTTCAGCTGCATGGTCCAGCAAGCTTAATTAAAGGTCTCAAGAGATCAGGTTCTACCGAAAGATGCGATGGCAGGACTGCCAGATGAAAGTAGAACGAGGAAAGCACAACTCTTCCAAGCAAAATGCTTTCAAGCAACCTCATTCGGGTGCGGCAGCTCAATCTTTCGATCCAAACGCCCAGAACGAAGCAAGGCGGGGTCCTGCAGAACAGTTGAAGCACCGACCCAACCACTTGCAGCACAACTTGGTGAAAGCCGTCTGCGTTTCCAGCTAGATGCACTGCATCAACTAAAATGCCCCGGTCCAGTGTGTCAGGACGGTTCGTGGCCGCAATAATCTTCACAGTGGTCTGGTTCGTGAAGCCATCCTCAGCCCGAGCCCAGGTGAGGCTAGAGTCTCGAGGTGGTCAGGGAGGCACGCTCAGGATGGACCAACAAAAAAAACACATGAAAGTGAAAGCTTGGCACAGGTGAATGCAGCAGCCATTTAAGGCAAAGTGTGCCAAGTGGCCAGCTGGTTCAGCAGCTCAAGCATCGTGCGTTGGACCTCGCGGACGCCAGACAACTCGCCTCCGCCGGATCGCTTTTGGCCGATGGCGTCCAACTCATCGATGAAGATGATGGCCGGCGCTTTCCTCAGCAGGTTAGACATTGACATTGCTGTGCTGGACCTGCAAGTGAACAGCAGGCCAAAAACCATTGCCACTGGACATAACCTGCCTGACGAGCGACTCCTTGGCAAGCACAAAGGCGTCACGGACAATCTTGGCTCCATCGCCAATGAACATTTGCACCAGCTGGGGTCCTGTCAAGCGGTCATACAAGTGCGTAGCGACTGAACATATGACAAGGTGCAAACCAGCTGGTCCTGCCAACTTCAGAAAGGTGGCGTTCGTGGCGGCTGCGCAGGCACGGGCCATCATGGTCTTGCCAGTCCCGGGGGGCCCATGCATCAGTACGCCCTTTGGCGGCTGGATGCCGATGTTTTCGAAACGCTCCTCACCAGGGGATGAAAATAAAGGCACGGACATCTCCAGCAAAGTCCCAATGAAGGTTCCGCGGACAGTGCACCTGGAATTGCAAACAGAAGCTTCACCATAGCTCCTTGTGGGTCATGGGTAGGACAATGGCCTCCTGCAACCTTGGATTTTGGGATATTTGGGGTATCTTGAAGTGGCGCGCACACAATTATGCACATAAAATTATGTGTAGCCTCCAAATGAGCCGTGTGCACCAGCCAGGCAGCTCTTGAATCTGCTTCTCCAGACCACCGATGTCACTGTACTGGTCCGTCGGACGTTCATCTACCTCCCAACCAACCCATGGAGACGACCCCAAACACATCTGGGAGACTTTCCACAAGCTTCTGCACATGCAGATCTTGGGTGCTGCTCAGGCATGCAGGCCTCCATCGCTTTGACACGAGAGTCATACTCTGGCGGCAACTTGTCCAACACTAGGTAGGAGTCCTTGTTCACGCCCACCAAGTCATTCCTTAGGTTTGACTCCGGTCATGCCTTTGTCGACCTACGCCCGCCGCACAGATAGGCAAAAAGAGAGGAATGAGGCGGAGAAAATGGGGTGGGGCGCGGGACCAAATATCTCCGAGGTTTTTGGTTTTCCCCAGCTTTTGCCCCCCGACCAAGAATCTGAGAGTTTAGAGCCGCTAGCCTTTCCGAAGGGCCCCGTAAAATCTCGGGAATTTTAGAGCCGCCGGAGACCGGCGAGCCTCTCAGACGCCAACCAGGCAACAAGACTTCAAGCACACAGGGTAGGCGACCATTGATTCAGCCTTCCTGGTTCAAATTCATCCCTGCTTCGATCAAAAAAGAGGACCCACAAACAACTTCATCCAAGCGTCGGCTTCAACTCTGATGCCTCCACAAGACCAATCACGGGAAGGAAGATGGTTTGCCTCATGCCGGCATTCGGAACCAAGCTTTCAAGATTTCAAGGCCTCTTTCCAGGCTAGGCTTACCTGGGACTTTTGTTCTGCTGGCGCAAGCAATTTCCAACAATGGAGGGTCCCCCTTTTCCACCCTTAAGTTCTGGAAACCTGTGTGTCCGCAACTCTGCATTCTGCGAGCTCCAAGCCTTGTTGTGGTCTTGATCACCATGCTTTTGCCATCCCGCTGGGTGTCAATGTCTTGCATGGCGCCATCCTGTTCAGACAGAGCGCCGTGCCCAGCTTATACAGTGGAAGCGGATACTTATCTGTAACCTTGAAATGGGCATTTCTTGCAAAGACCTGTATGCAAAGGAGCAATGGTTTCAGACCAGGCAAATCTCCACCAGAAGATTCTCTGATCTTCCGAGCGCAATGGGTGTGCTGGCTGCATGTCGTTGTACCAATTGGAATTGTACCGCCATTTATTATTAGCTCCTTCCCTCCAAAGGGCCCGGGGCCTCGTCGTCCTGATCCGGCTCCAGTTCCAGGATCTCGGCCACGTTCGCCACCAAGTGGGGCAGCTGGCGGTTGAGCTTGATCTTCTCCTGCCAACTCCCCATCTAACTCTGAATCACCTGCCTGCTGATAATGGTCGGGACGCATCGATGCAACACTCGCAAAGGTTTATATGTGATCTGATGGACTGGGGTGCTTGCGGGCTGCGGGAAGAACTTTACGCTGATCTGGAGATTCACCAACAGCTTCTCATATGCAAAACTAAATCATGCAGCAGCAAAGAGCCGCGGCAGGCTGGGCCATGTTTTCAAGCGAGAGTTCCTCACAATCGCGGGTCCCTTCTGCAGGACTCCCAAATGGCAATCCTTAAATTATGCTATGGACAGGTTGGCATCTCCGAATATGATGGTTGCAAGCTGAAAACACTGGTCGTGACACTGGCTGCTGCTTCATCAGCACAATTTGAAGGATTCTGCATGGAGTCGCCACCAACTCTTCAGCCCATGGCGTCCTTGTTGTCCTTTGTCTTTTCTTCGATGGTTTTAATCTCGTGCGTTAGACGCTGCTGTTCACCTCGGCGCACAAAGACTGTGTCCAAATCAAGCGTTCCCTGGCAACAACGCCAGATGGAAAGGGCTGATGGAAAAGCTTGCCCCAGCCCTCTCCTAAAAGAGAAGTGCAGACCCAGTCACTCTTCATGACACGAATATCATTGTCTAGGAGTCGGATGCGCTGATTGATCTCCTGTCGCAAAAGCACTCTGTAGCCTTCCGGCGCACACGCTCTCTAGAATCTCTGGAAAACAGAAGACGCAGCCAAAAAGGATGTGTCCTCGACGCTGGACCTCTTGAGGTCAGCTGTAACAATGTCGTCCTGCGGCCACTGCCCACTGCTGCGTTGAGAACTGCGCTTCCCAGCTCAGGAGATCTTCACATCCCTGCTGGCAATAGAACTGCCCTCTGCCGGCTGCCGCCTACTAGTTACTAGTTCTTATCTAACTCCAGCTCCTCCTGCAGAACTACTACTGCTACTGAGACTACTTCCTATACCACAGCTGCTCCTGTTACTACTGCCACTACTGCTACTTTTGCTACTGCTGCTACTACCATTACGATGACGATGACGACAATGATAACAGCGATAATGACCACGACCACGACCACGACGACGACTACGACTACGACGACGACATACGAACGATGGCAACCACTACTGTGGTGAGGACTGTGACTATGACAGCGAGTATAGCGTGGCGATGCGTGGCGGTCGTTACCACGACGACAAAGACGACGAGGACGAGGACGGATGGCAAACCCCTACTCCAACTCCTCCTCCGTCTCAATGTTACTGAATTCTACTGCTATCACCACAACTACTTCATTGCCACTGCCGCCGGCGCCAACCCACTGCCAGGGCCACAGCCACCGCCGCCCAAGCCACTGCCAGCGCCACCGACGTCACTGACACCACCACCACCACCATCATCACCACCACCTGCACACCTCACTTCCTAATTATCCTTTTCCAGCAAGCTTCATCCGCCCTGGCACTCCTCGCCCCAAATATCGGCACTCTCGAGGCCACCGCCCGTCGCTGCTGGTGCCGCTGCAGCAGGCGCGGGCGTGGCGTCGGTCATGGGAACCTGAGCTTTTGTTGTGGACCTTCCTTATCCTCTCCGAGAAGGAGGAATTCTTGCGTTCCAGCTGTTAAGGACCTAGCTTGCATCTGCAATGAACTTTCAGCCCCCACTTTAGTTAGTAGCTGCTGGCGTGCATCAGCTTCCCTATGAAATTCTGAGAAAACAGCAATAGGACCACAGCGGGACTGCAAGGCGGCTCTGACAATAAGAGTTCGTCTGCGGCCGACTAACCCCAATCTAGCCTGGGAGTCTGGCAGACAAAAGCAAGGACGAGAATAATGGACCCTTCAGCTGGGGAGATAGTCATTGAGTTCATATGGGGGTGTGCCGAAAAGGGGGGGTGCGGCGTTCCGCGCCACAAGCCCTCTGTTACATTCCCCTTGAAACGCAAGCCTGCTACATACCCCTTGTTGTGCAGCCTTCATGTCTTCCGCAGGACAAGAATCTTTGGGTATGTCGCGAAAACCTTCCTATGTTACATACCCTATGTAACGGGGTATGTAACGNNCCTGTTACAAGCCAATCGTTTTGGCACGTGCCCATATGATTTCTCTTCGGGACCGGAGACCTAGATACGCGGACTCGTAAGCCAGAATCGCGGCCAAGTCACATCTCCAGATTCGGCCATCACTATCGAAATCCGAATTCAACCGCAAGACGCGGTCGTCCGTCAAGGATCCAGGAAGGTCACAAATTACAGGCAGGCAGTGCAGCTGTTGTTGTAAACAAGTGGCGCTACCTGACTTGCATTGCTGGTGATTCGCTAATAACCGCTGCATGTAGCAGGATAGAGCTCGTGAAGTCAATGTGCTGATAGCCGCTGCACTTGATTGTCAAAAGCCACGGCGAGAGCTGCTCTGCGAACACATGCTTTGCCACACCACATAACTCATTTAAGACTAGGGCAGGCAGGCAATGACTCGAGGCTCAGACAGGCATGCACGGCATGCACGGCCCACGGTTCGCCCCCTTGAGTGCCCTCCCTGAATTACCGCTTGCCTCGATTTGAAGGTCAAACTTGCAGCCGATCCAGGCTTCCTCGACCCTGCCATGACAGAAAGTGGTTTGCATCTAAGAAATCCTGGTGCTTCCGAAGTGTGCCGGCACCCTGCTCAAGAGCCAGCTGACCCGGACGTGAAATGCCTAACTCACCAGCATCTTAACCGAAAAGGACCAACAGGATTATTGGTGTACAAGAAAAGCAGCAGTCGTAGCAATCGGCTTGCAGTAGTAGGCAGTAGAAAAGTAAGCATCATAGCAAATTTGCTTCTGGTAGTGGCCATAACTGCAACCCCGACAATTCCATAGCAAATTAAACCCTAAACCCTAAATAGTAGTTTCCATTTTCTTTTCCATTATCGCAATATAACCCCAATATGTCCCCTATTGTAATGCAGTAACCCCAATATGAACAATTCCAAGCTCTGCGCCTGCAGGGCCCGCACTGAGAGATCCACCGCGAGGAGAAGTTACCGTCGAAGGCACGGCCGGCGCTGACATCGGAGTAGACCTTGAGCATGCCGGTTGGAGTTCGTGGCACTGTGGCAGGGTTCATGGTCTAGGGCCCAGGGGCTCTGGGGTTCAGGATATTAGGCTGCTCAGCTTTGAGGGTCTGCGATGCGATCCACTTCTGCACGCCTAAGTCACGTGCTTGTTAGCCTGAGATGCGTTTTGAAAGAAAGCAAAGGCTCCCTTCTACTTATACACCTCCAAGATACTGCGACCATTGCTGCAGCTCTAAATTCTGAACACTTCGGAAGTGTTGGAAGGCTGGGCAGATAGTCTACCTTCACAATGCCAAATCCAGAAAGATTGATGGCAGCTAATGGCTGGCTTCATGCAAGGTAGGTCCTTGCAAAAGAAACAAGACCATGGCGCCTCGGATTTTTTTCGAATAGTTGTGGCTGCGATTTGGAACTTGGAATTTTGGCAGCGTACTCCTTCTCGCACGGGATGGTCCATTTAAGTACCAAACAAGAGAGTGCGGAATGTGTGCATGCTCAACCCTGCAGACTGCCTGCGCATCGCTCTGAATGAGCCCAGAAGGCTTGACGACCCACCCCGGCCGTTAAAGCTAAGGTCCCAGCCAGACCAGTCTGGTTCGGATCCACCTGGGCCCCCTCCTGCAACCAGGCATCTCTTTTTCGAGCGCTTCTCCAAGAACATTAAGATGTACCCTTGTGGTGGCTTGTAGGGTTTCATAGTTGTAGCGGGCCGTTCTCTCCTTTTTACATGGACCCCCGTCAGAAGACAAACCTGCCTGCAACAGCAGGAAGTGGCCACCTCGGCAAAGACGCTGAGGGAACTCACCATGCAGTGGTGCTACATAAGCAAGGCCCCTGTCTTGAGCAAGTATAAGTTGTCCCCTCCTTCCGAGATGAGAAATACCATGTGGCGCATGTCCAGGTTGATTGCCTGAAGATCTGAGCTTGTACGTAGGGTTTATGTCAGGGCCCTCAATTGCAGCAGCTGAATCTAACGGATCCCAGCTCCCCGTTACAAGTTCCAGTCTGCTGCAAGCTTCCAGCTGATGCAGCCAAGTGGCTGGCCACGGGGAGGTCACAAGGCAATTCAGAGAGGCAACCGTCGTCACGGAAGAGCTTCATCTCGTAGACATGGATGCGGTCCTTCAGGGCAGAATGAGACTTTAGGCTCCAGCTTCATGGCTCATTTGCGTCATCAATCCCGTCCGGCTCGGTCTCAGCATTGCTGAGTCTGAAGATGCGATTTGGTAGGGACATCACCTCGAACTGCGCCTTCCTTGCAGCGTGCGCAACGGCTTGCAGCTGCATCATGCTGAAATTTCAATGGTTGGGGGCAGCAATTTAATGTGTGGATCCCAAGAACATGCCGTGATTTGATCATCCAGCTCTCCAGCGATTCAATGCCAAGGCCAGGGCTACCGCACAAGTGAAATCTACAGCAAAAAAAATTGCCATTCTGCCTCAGAGGAAAGGGAACCTGAGTAAAAAGGGCGTCCAGGAAGGGCACTCCTGATTTCATAAGTCATCCTGAATCAAAGAAACCCGACAAAGGCCGACAAAGTCCTAAACACCAGGACATACGCCCAGCCAAACCCCTAAAGACCTGCCGCTTTCAAGAGTCGTCAGGGACCCCACAGCGTCCACGTCCAACTCCTTAGCTGAACTTGAGGGATGGCGCCGGCATCGTTCTTGCTACAAATGCAGGCAGCTGTCTCATGACTGCCACGGCTAGTCATTAAAGTATTTATGCCACATCTTCATTACTTCCGATGTTCACAGTTATTGCTGCTATCTTCCCAGCAACATGGAGGCTCAATCTACTTCTTGCACATACTGACTCGTTCTCACAGCTGAGGAGCGGTGAACAGCTTTGCGACATTTGCTGATCTCACTCCCAACGGTGACGCCAGCCTCGTCAACTCCTCCAGCGTCACCAGGCCATTTCCTTGCAAGAGGGATAACCGGCCATCTTCTGTTCACTCCCCTTGCCCCTTTGCCAGCATGGTCAATGCCAGAAGTCAAGTCGAGGCCTTGCCGGGACATACACCAAGCAGTAGTCTTTCACTAGTCTTTCACTCATACGTCATCCCTCAGCCCTCTGCACCCAGATCAGTCCCATTTCCAAATGGCACCATGTCCCAACACAGCTGCCAAGGTACCATCGCCCTCGTCGTCTGCCTCGTCAAAGGCTGCTGCCAGGTCGCCCAAGGCGGAGCCCAAGATCTGCCCTAGGCCGGTTCCCAGACTTGAAAATCAAAATGCAGGTGCAGGTTCGAAACCTGCCAAAGTCCAAATGCCGAGGCACCAAAGCTGCGAGCGCCAACCTCTGCAGACAGCAGCCTCAGGATTCAAAGACATGGCCAAATTCTGTGGGTGGAGGTGGAGGTTCTGGTTTGCCACCGGCTCCTCCCTGCCCCTGGTGCCTGAATTCTGCCAGAGCATGTAAGAGCCAAGTAACATCTCGAAATGCGACGGTCGAAGCAATCCCTCTTTTCGGGTGTCCTGTAGACCAGTGGCTGGCAAACGGGTGTTTAAAAGTCTGCGTGCAAGCTAAGCGAAGCTTCAGGTGCTCCTGGATACAATGCAGGAATGCAAGAACGTTCATGCTCAGAGCAAACCCATTTGCACGACCTTACCTACTTTGCAGCATGCTTGGGCACCATCCAAACTGTCCAGGTCAGCGAAAATCTCAGGGATGAGGGATGTCGGCAGCTGCAGGCGGGCAACACACCAGGCATAGAACTCCTGCCGGTCCCAGACAATTTAGTAAGGCTTTCTGATTGTAACAGCAGACACATCACGACCACAACAAGTAGCAGACACTGCTGATGAGGCTTTAGGTGGGTGAAAAGTCAGCGACTTTGGACAAGTGAACAAAGTCGCTCGGCCTTGAGCGGTGACGATGGAAGTTCAAGTGGCTTGCATGGCTGAAGTCCTCATATGAGACTTCGTTCCAGGGTGGCGTTGTGTCAAAATCCAGCAGCGCCTCTCTCATGTCGACATAGCCTCACGAAGTGCCCAATGCTAGAGAACTGCTGTCGCCCAAGTCGCATGGGCAGAAAACTGTGTTTTTCTACAGCTGTAGAGGGGCACCTGTCATGTTATGAGGCTAGACTGACCCGAAAGTAGGTATGTAGGCAGCCAGCATGAAAAAGCTGGGAGGCTTGACCCTACTCCCTGGGGCGAACTGTGCAGCAAGCAGCTGTCCCTCAGAAGGCTGCGGAATTCGGCAAGCCCATTGGCCGCTAAGAGGAAGATGTCCAGATGAACTGCATCAGCATTGCCTAGGCCAGGGGAAGTTCTCAGGAAGGTCTTCATACGCAGTGCCTCTGATATCCCAGATATCTGCCACTGCTGTACTGGCGCAATCTTTCCAGGCTATCAAGGTTTTGGGAAGCATCTTGGTTGCATTTTTCCAGTTTCCACGGTGCAAAGGGATCCTTATTGCAGAACAATCTGAATCCGAATCCGCTCGAAGGCCGGGAGCAGCTGTCATGCAGCCTGCTAGACTGGACTCTTGCAGCTCCCCGAACAGAATCCCAACAGCTTGGGGGGCTGCTCGTAGGCGGTGAATACGGTTACCACCACTGCAAACCGCCAAGTCCAGAAGCTTTTCCCCTCATGTATCCCTGCAGAATCACAAGACCTGATCATTTAGGGCAAGCTGCGGCTGGCCAAGGAGTCGAACAAACCGTCCTCGCACATGTCTCAGACAACAGTTCATTAAAATCACGAGCCTGATCATAACAACCATCATCAACAAGAAGTAACACGAACAAGAACAATCAGAACGATTCCAGTACTTGCTGTAGCGGATACCTTGCATCTAACTTATACTGGTATTCCAAATGACAAGATACCAAGACTCAGGAATGCAAACAACCCCCAACAACGAAAATCAACAGAATGCAAAAACAAACGGCTAGCTTGGGAAGGGCGGGCTACTCAGCCACATTCAGATGCGGCCAGGTGATAAAGCCTTCTGCTGCTTCCCTGGATTTGCCAAACTGGGAAGCTTGAGTGATGACGTCACTCGGAGCAACACCCCTGATACTACTGTGCTTAAGGATCCGCATAATCTCCCTCCTACTCAATGTACTATACTGTAGTTTCCATTTTTTTCTTTTCCATTATCACTCTATAACCTATAATATCCCAATATTACCTCCCCCCCGTGATCCCATGTATCAATCCCCGCGCCCCATATTCGAACTTGACACTGCCGTGGCTCCACGTTGTCGCCGCTGATCGCCAGCGCTGTGGCCATGACCTATAACAGCAGTTACCACAAGGGGCATATATGTATATATATATAATGATTGACATGCTTTCCCCACTTTAAGTATTGAGTTCCTTAACAGCCACCCAGCATGCGAGCTTTGATAGGGCTGGTAAAGGCCCAAGAACGCAACCACACCATGAAGACAAACTGTGAAGACGGAGCTTGCTGCAGAAATGGTAAATGGCGGTACCCGAATATAGACCCCAGAACACCGTAATCCTTATTATAGGGGTTCCAAAATCGATATGGTACCCCTAATGAATTTTGGGAAACCCCAAATTGACTGTCAGGGGGGACAATTCCTCACCTTCCCGCTTTCAGCATTGGCCTTGCCGATGTCTCAGTGCGGTCATGGTGCACAAGGAGATGAGCAAGAAAAAATCTCCACAAAAATCATAGGTACAACTAGCTTAGCAGCCAAACCGTAAACCCTAAACCCTGAACCCGCCCTAAACTCGCGTGCACGACCCTGAGCATCTCCTCAGGCATTAAAAAAACCCTGAGCATGGTTGCAGAGATGTACGAGGTACCAATCAGCGTATACATGATCATGTCATAAGTTATGTACTTACCTGTAAGTATATGTACCTTGGAACAAAGGTGCATACCCTGGCATAGCAGTTGAGAAGCCCCCCTCTTTAAACAGGAAGTTTTAGAGGGATGCCTCGAACTCGGAGCGCTGCAGCAGGCGGTCACCATTGGCATCGAAGGTCAGGAAAGCCTGGCAGAAACTTGTCTGCTTCATGGCAAATCATGTGATCACATCCCACAGCAGGCCCAGGCCTCAAATCATCGGCCCTAACCCCAGAAGCGAAAGCTTCAACCTTCTGGGCATGAGGGGCGAGATGTGCCTCCACCCCGGCACTGAAGACCGACTGGACCAAAGCGCGGAGGCCCATGACCTCTCCCAACTTGCGTAAAGCAGTTCAGTCAGGGCAGCCGCATGCTGGCAACAAACATGCCCCATGGTGAACGAAAATCAGAGAACCACATCTCAGCCAAACATGATCAACGATTGCCAGCCTCAACAGAACCAACAGCCAGGCCAAAATCATCGATCGAGACCTGGCATGAGTGGAGGCTTCCATGTCTGAAGCAGTGTCACTCCCCTTGCTTCGGAACCACGGGCACAAACTTCCATGTTGAAAAACATCGCAGTGTCCTCTTCTTGTGCGGCTGTATGAAATGACCACAGCATGTGCGAAAGGTCACCTGGCCTCACCGACCAGCGCTTCATCTACAGCTCGGAACACCTTCGCGTGCAGGTATGCGTGCCGAGCGTAATACTCAGTACTCAGTACTCCGGCCAGGCAAAGAACAGTTTGAACTGTGGAAACCGTTCCCCATCACTTGTTGCGCTCAAGTATGGTTCGGGCTGGGTTCGCACACCTGATTTTTTCTGCCCGGACACCAGGAGTTCCAGTTCAGCTTCAGTTCGGAAGCAGTGCATATGAGCAGTAGAAGAAGCGGAAGCAGCAGTAGTTGTAGCAGCAATACTTGCAGTCATACTAAGAATTGCTGCAGCAGCAGTATCAGTAGTCGTGGCCACAGGCAGAGGCGTCGTCGGCGTTGTCATCGTGGTCGTTGTCGTCGTCATCATCATCTAGTAGCAGCAGCAGCAGCAGCAGCAGCACAGTAGTGCTACAGGCAAGCTAAGGATCAGAAGCAGTGGCCGCGGACACCCTTCAATGATTCTAGGCAATAAGAAGGCTGCGGAAAATGTGCTCTCAGGCATGGGATCTTCTGAAAAACTAGGGCCCATGGAAGACTGCGGAAAATGGTACCCTCAGTACTATATGATATAAATATGGCCAAGAAAAAGATGCGCAATTTTGAGACACCCATGTCCTACGCTTCAATATCCATTGTCCTCCAACTTACTATGACTATGAGCACCTGCTAATTAAGCCTCATATGAAACCCTTCACAAATTTCACCAACCCCAAAAACCTGAAACTAATCTTGCAGTCCCCAAATAATCCTTGTAAACTGGAAAAATACCCTGCAGCTCTCCGAAACAAGACCTCCAACGCCGCACCCATAATCTTGAGAAATACCTTGTTTGCGCCCAAGAGGCTGTGGCAGCCGTGACATTCCCGCGCAGTGCCAAGCTACGGCAGCCGAGGCGTTGTAGCTCCTTTCGACTGATTTTCTTTGAGGGTGAGGGTGGGGCTTCAGGTGCAAGGCCCAAGAAAATACAGATCATTACAGAGCATATGCTATAACATATCCCACAACATGTAACACACGTGAGAAAAAATTGCAGTGGAAAACGGAAATTCAGGTAGCAAGCGTTTTTGCCATTCTCTGGGTGTGCGGATGACCATTTTACGAAACCCTAGATCCAAGTGCAACATGAGTTCCAAGAGATTACATGGTACAACTTGTGACAACTTGAGGTTTTCCTAGCTCAAGTTATTACTGATCCTTCTTGGGGTTCCAATTCCGTAAGCCCTAAGAATAAGAACTACACTACAGTACTCTGATGGCATGCATGCGCGCACCAACTCGGAGACCAGGCTGTTGCCATCAAAGTCGGCAACTTGGAAGGTGTTCTCCTGGGTCCCCACGCGGCTATTTAGGGATGTTCAGGGTTTAGGGTCCATGTTGCGACTCGTCCATTGCTTCAGAGAAAAAACACTTCTCAAACAGCGCAGCCCCATCTGCAATCTTCTCCAAGCGTCAGGGTTGTTGAAGGTCCAGGAGATCAGCCTTGCCAACCAGAGGTCATGACTACTCTCTTGCCACATGTGCTGCTTTGGGTTTCTCAAGCAGATTAGACACTGGAATGTAAGCAACTCTATGGGAGGTCCAGAGATTATCAGACTGCTGGGCCATATACAGAGAAGTCATATTTAAAAGGCCCATCTTCTCGACCTGATAGACATCTCACATGTGCTGTCTGCCTGCGGAAGTCAAAGAGTTTCAGCTCATTGCCCGATACCACGTGCATCTCGGCCCGGGAAAGCGCTCCAGAAGAGTCCGTGTCCAGGGTCTGGAACCTCGTACGCATTGGGGTAGTGATAGGGTGATTTTGGGGTTACATTGGGATAATGGGAAAAAATGGAAACTACTATTTAGGATTTAGGATTTAGGGTTTTAGTGCAAGCAATAAACTAGGTCTAGGAGACGGTTCAAGCAATAGAACGATCAGCCCTCACTACGAGCGTGCTGCTTGCAGAAATTGCTTCTTCATCATCCTCCATCAGTCAGGGCAGCAACTTCAAACAGCCAGCACTGCGCCTACTGATCGTCCCTCGCTGCCGTAGTGTGAGGCCACTGGCTGCTCTGAGGCTGGAACAAGATTGCCGCATCTGTCATTCCGATGAACAAGTCTTGCAAGAAGGTTGCAAACTCCTAAGATGTCTTGAGCAACCAACGTCATGTAAGCTTGATGCTTTTGCACATGGCCATGCGAATCGTGGTGGCATGCCCCCATACTTCCCTCACCGAAGCGAATACTGCCCGTTACTAGAGCACCATGATTGCCATTGTTGTGGTCATTCCCTCTGTCATCCTCACCGTCATCACCATCATCCGTCGCAGACGTAGCACCCATTCCCATTTGGGTAACATGTATCAGGCTTGTTAAGCCATGCTTGACTCTCTGTACGCAGAGGTGCCTGCGACGAGATGAAGTCGTTGCTATTCAAGTCTG